GGTTATTTACAAATATAGATAGCAAAACTGCAACCTGCATTTCACAAGCAACTTATGAGCAGGTAAAGTTTGTAATGGTGCAGTAGGGTGGAGGCTTGGTGGTGAGCTGTGAAGCATAAGCGAGGAATCGCATACGTCGAATCGAGTCGTGGTGGTTCAGTGGTAAGGTTCGACGTTCGACGACTCGATTCGACGTATGCGATTCCTCGCTTGCTTCACAGCTCACCACCAAGCCTCCACCCTACTGCACCATTACAAACTTTACCTGCTCATAAGTTGCTTGTGAAATGCAGGTTGCAGTTTTGCTATCTATATTTGTAAATATCTTATAAAACTCTACCGAGCTACCCAAGTCTCTATTCAAAGTTCCATGGTAAGCTGGCGGACTTCCCTGGTAAGCCCCTGCCAATGTTGATCAATCGAATATGCGACAACAGACCTGCTCGCAACGGGGAGGGGCTTGTCAGATGGGGAAAGTTTGACCCGAAGCCAAAAAGATTCCCTACCTTTTTCGCAAGGGAGAGAACAATATAATAACTTTTGTACCAGTCGATCCCCACCAACTGTTGTCGCTTGCCTGCTTCAGCAGCTAGAAAACGATTTGGTGCCGCACTGAACCCATTCCGCTTAACCCGCTCCTTCGTCGGAGCGAAAAAGACTGCGAAGAAGCCGTGAGCCTCTTCACAGACTTGTTCGCTCCGAATGAAGCATTCAGAGAACAATAGGAAATTCAAGAGATTCAATAAAAGCAGATGAATGAGATGTAAGATGGAATCCGTAAAAGGGGGTTGGAGAAGGTCGATGTTTCACTGAGGAATATCGTTTTGGTTGCCGGAGCTGCTGATAGGCCTGTGTGTATCATGTTTGCTTACTAAGTGACTTGCAGTTTTGCCATAGTCCTTTTCACGGTTTATTTCGAGGTATTTTTGTGTGCACACCTTGAGTGTAAGGGATAAATAAATAAGTAGAGTACATATATCAGGTTGAATCACAGGAGTGCTTCAACGCATAAGATACGATCTGGAAGCTGTGCAAGCAAAAGTTCGAACGTCAATGAAAGAATTATTTATAGGCATCAGTTTACGCCGGTCAGCTCCATGACGCTTTCTACACCTACGCTCGTGCACTGAACACTACTCTGCAAGCGGACCCTACCGCTTATCATAATGGCTCGCAGCTTTTTGACAATATCGTGATGTCATTTCAAGGTGAAAGTTTTTCACCTTTTTGCAATTGTTACTTAGGCTGACGGAAATCCTCAGCGAAACTCACGAATAACTCCAGATTCGGATGGGATGATCCACAGGATCGTTCCAGGCTAAGGCATTTATGAAAGTGTTGCACTCTCACTGCAGATCATCCATTAGTTATATATTGTTTCTAAAACGCATTTTTCTTCGCGGGGTGCAGCCAGTAAAATTCAATCTATTGTCTAGTTCGTTACGGACGAGTAGGCGTGTCAGGCAGCATGAGTCTGGCACGGTGCCGAACTCATTCTCTTCCAAAAGTAGAAGTGAGCAAGTGACAGACTGTTCATATTGTTTGTATCACTCGTTTTCTACCAATTGTTGTCGCATACCCGCTTCAACAACTTCAGAGAACGGGTTTCACGCCGTGACACACTCATACTATACTGCCTGACACGCCCATTTGTCCGCAGCGAACTAGAGTGTAGTCTACTGAATGTACACCTATGAAAAACTCCATTTCTTTCTCCCTAGTTTCTGTGCTCATATGGTGGCAATCCCATTTAAAGACACGATCACACATAGTTTGGGTGTGCGTGACTATCACCCCCTCCCCCCCCCCAGCTGTCGAAGCGTAGCGGTTTCCCCGTCCTAACATGCGCAGGAATGGAGATACAGGACCGTGAAACACGCTAATTCCTCCATGCTCCGCCCAATACCTTTTGCGGCGCAGACTCCCGTTCATGCTAACATCCGTCGTGTGCGCGCGTGTCGCGTGCGGCTCTCTTGGCACTTTGCCAAGTCCTGTAATTGCGCTTTGGAATACAAGTAAAACGCAATTTCCTGATGCGGATAACATTGCTCATGCTTCAAAGTCCGAATAGAAGGTGATGAAGATGACAAAGGCTAGAAATGAAGAACAACGAATGTAGATGTAAATAAAAAAAATTGAAAAAACTAAGGAAACGCAAATTAATTAAAATCGCGTGTAAATTTCTGCGATCCGGCGCGAATCCGGCTCCAAAGCCATAGAAATACTTGAACGAAGGTCTGTCCAAGTGCGCAGAGCTTTCGCGACTTGCGCAATCAGATTCCAGCCCAAGGCTCAATGATGTCGCAACCACTTTGTTGGAAAAAAGGAGGGCAATGAAAATGGACCCTAATGCCACGCACTTGGAAAAAGTCACCATCAACAAGGCATGCCGGTTTGCCGTCAGAGAATCACTCCGAGCTTACAGAAGAACTAGACTGCTGAAGGCGGCAGAAACAAGATCGGAGGCATCACGCTGCATAAGAACGAGATCTGAACGATCAAAGAAATGTCATTTCAGCTCTTATGGACAAGGAATGGAAGAATACAAACATCTAGGAGATCTATCGAGGAAATCGTTAGTGGTTTCTGACCCACGAATCCTTTGCGCTGCTATCACAAACATCCCTAGATGCTCTGCACCGCCTGCTGAAGATCCCCCTCCTATTCTGGAAGCGGAAGTTGCAAATGCGATCAAAAAGATGAAGAAAGGAACTGCTCCTGGACCCGATGGCATATCTGCCGATCTTCTTCGTGCAGGAGGAAAGTCCCTTCACACACTCCTCGCAGAGCACTTCAGTCATTACCTGCAATTAGGAATGGACCGAGTCGATCGCCCGCTTTCCGAGGAGCGATCCTCCTTATGCGGTGTGGAAGGGTCCCCGCCCTCGCAAACTGAAGCCCAGTCGGAATCCGCCCGCTTCGGCGGGCTATCCTACACTTATTGCATTGTAGATAGTGGGTCCGCCGGCCAGCCAAAACTGAGGCCCGGTCGCCCCCACCCCCTTCGATCGCCCGCCTTGGCGGGCGGCATCCCTCCTTATATGCGTGTGAAGTGGGTCCCCGGCCATCCAAACTGAGGCCCAGTCGGATCGCCCGCCTTCGGCGGGCGATCCTCCTTATGCGTGTGAAGTGGGTCCCCGGCCACGTCAAACTGAGGCCCGGTCGGATCGCCCGCTTCGCTGCAGAAAATTTTTTTTGAATTCCAGAACATTACGTTCACATTTTGGTATATTACCCCCCCCCCTCCCTCCCCCCACTAGTGGATGGTTATATGAAATATAATTCATAAAGGAGAGGGCTCGCGTGGGCCCTATGCGTAGCCGGATGCTTAGTGGCCCATGACTGAAGTGGAAGTATATGGGTATTTGAGTTGGTGTAGAATGAATAGCAGGTAATAAACAAATAAACACATGCTAAAAATTGGTAGTAGGTTATGAATTTTCGATTTTGACCTCATAATATTCACTCCTATTATCACTAGCCTTGCGACGATATTATGAACTGCAACAGGCACCTCCGACTCGGGATACCTCATTCGCTGGGGTGTCTCTTCACTTATGTTACCCGTCCCTCGCCCCCCCCCCCATAGAATGCAGCCCACTCGAATTTTCTGTAACAAAATGCGAGTCCGTCAACAGAGCGGGTTCATCAAGCATGCTCGCAAAAATGCTTCCAGGTTCATAGCGTCATGCAACTGCTAACTCTGCCAATCGCTTACAGCGGTCAGCATATGATTATAATATGTCCGTGAAATCGTATGATACCCACAACCATACATACAAGCAATATCGATGGAAACAGTCGAATTTTTGCTTCACAGGTCCATTTCAAGTATGCCTTCTTCCATCCAACCTCGATCGGACTTCTTACTCCACGTTTTCCCGCTGCTCGGGTAGTTCCGGGTTCGAACTTCGAAATTTTTACTTGGTCCCCGCCTACCCAGACAAACGCCCGCTTACTGCAATCTGCCGGGCTCTTTCCAACGCCCAGTTCGGATGTGCCTCCTTCTGTGTATCTACCTGCCCACTTTTTACTCGAGTCCGTTTTCCCGCTGCCGAGCAGTTCCGGGTCTGAATTTTGAAGATTTGCGTTAGGCCCCGCCCGCCCGAACAAACGCCCCGCTCACTTCGGGTATGCCCACGCCCATTGTGGGTGTAGTCTAACGTGGTGCATAGAGAATGATTTTGTCCCCGGTCCCTGTGATCTTCAGGAGGAAATTTTACGAATTTTTGTCGTTGGCACTACTCACTTCGGTGCACGCCCCGTCTATTGTGTGCGAGGCTTAGATTAGTTTGTGTGTATTCGGTATAATTTCAACATACCCTCACAGAAGTTTGACGGCGTTTTACGGTTTTGTGACGTTTTCGAGACACCGCTCAGCTAAATATAGGCCCCGCCCATTGTGGGCGGAGCCTCTTCTCCTATTGGTGCCACAGCACACAGACAACTTCTGCTTTATATATAGAGCAGGTTGATGATTCCAGAACAGTGGAGAGAATCGAGAACAGTTCTTCTGTTCAAAAAAGGTCAGAGAGAGGAGATTGCCAACTACCGACCTATCAGTCTGCTCTCGACGATATATAAGTCGTTCACGAAAATACTGCTCAACCGTATGGAACGCATCTTAGACGACTATCAACCACCAGTAGGCAGGCCGGCCTTCCACAGAATTTCTCCCTGTATGGACAACATACAGGCAGTAACACAGCTCATAGAGAGGAGCCGCGAGTACCATCTTCCACTTGTCCTCGTCTTTGTGGACTACAAAAAGGCCTTCGACTCAGTGGAGGTTAATGCTGTTCTCAACGCCCTTGTGCGAGCCGGAGTACCCTCTGCCTACATTCGCCTGCTCGAACAGAGTTTATCGAACACATCAACAACCCTGCAACTGTTCGAGCGCAAGGTAAAAGTACCCATTGAGAAAGGGGTACGGCAGGGGGACACGATATCCCCGATTTAAGTAAAAAAAAAAATAATTCACGGCAGCACTACAGTATGCGATGTCAAACCTCAACTGGGATGACAAAGGATACTTGATTGACGGGAAAAGGATAAGCAACCTCCGTTTTGCAGATGATATCGTTCTGATATCCGATAACACAGTCGAAATGGAAGAGATGGTAAACGAGCTCGACATGATTGGTCAGAAGATTGGCTTGGAAATGAATATGTCCAAAACGAAAATGATGGTGAACCACTGGTGTGATGCGGGAACCGTGAAATTGGCAGGAGTTGCTCTCGAAAGAGTGGATTCCTACGTGTATCTGGGAAGAGAGCTAAACATGCTGAACAAACCCGCAAGACACCAAAACAACAAGCTGACAACATCTCTGCTGAAATAAGCCGCAGGAGGCGTGCAGCATGGGCAGCTTTTGGAACGATTCGTGAAGTAACGGAGCAAATTAAGGACCCTAACCTAAGAGCCTCGATATTCGACGCCACGGTGCTACCAGCGATGTGTTACGCGACCGAAACCTGGCCTGAAAACAGGACAATCACCAAGGCAATGCAAACTACGCATCGTGCACTGGAGAGATGTCTTTTGAAGGTCGGCCGCCGCCAGCAAAAAAAAAGTGGCAACAAGGTTACGAGTACAGACTTAAGGGAGAGGTCGAGACGTTGAAAGATCCGCGCAGTACATGGCGCCAGTGCAAACCCGCTGGGCTGTACTTGCTCCGCGCCGCAAATCGATGACAGATCGGAGTCTCCGCATCACAGAAATAGGTCCAAGGACGGCAAACGCCTCTGGGACGACCACCAACGCGTTGGTCCGACTCGTTTTTTGAAATATTTCAGAGAACGCGGTCCACCACATTGGATGCAAGTCGCCAGAAATCGTGCGTTATGGAAGAGCTGTGGTCCCCACTGAAGATCAAGCCAGTTGAAGGACCATCAAAGTATCAAAGTAAGTAAGTATTCGTGAAACGTGAGGGCGGGCGTTGTCATGGCACAGAAAATCCGGACCCTTTCTTTCTGATAGACTGGTTTGGCCTGCATCTGAACATTAATTTCGGTACTCTCGTCGATCTTCTTCACCAGTACGGTTGCTGTGATGGTTGGCCTGGTGATAAAAAGTTATAGTGGATCACACCAGCCGATGACCACCAAGCCGTGACCAGAATCTTTTTTTTCGTGAGGGTTCGGCTTTGAAAATGTAACCTCCGGGGTTCTGTCAAATCCATACCACTGTCCGCAAGCGTCTCCTGTTAATCATACCACACCGCCATTTTTCCATCACAGAGTGACATTCGCCCAAAGAACAGGTCGTTTTTGCTGCGCCAGAAAAAAGCAATAAAAGGAACTCTCGAGCGATGCCGATTCCTGCCGGTCACTCCGATTGTGGGCACCCAATTGTCGAGTTTTTTTCACCTTCCCAATGCGTTCCAGACCATCTGCAACAGTGGATTTGCCAACGGCCTAGCTCTTCTGCTATCTCTCGAACTGTTTGGGATGGGTCAGCCTTCCAAAATCCCCCTCTCTAGAACGAAATTTGTTGAGCCATTGCCGCACAGTGCTTTCTCTAGCACTATTGGGCCCCCACACCTGGTTAATTTGTTGAGCTGTTTCGATTGCGGATTGCCCCAATTTATAGTCGAAGAAAAAATCGTCCGAAGTGCTCTTTTCACATGCTTGAAAAAATCTTGAAAAAAGGGGTTTATCAAGCAATGGTGAAAATAACGTGTGGCACAAATCGCTTGAGAAATTTTCCGGACGAACCTATGGTTTGGTTCTGTTGAAACATCTGAAGACTCTATTTATGCGGGGAAATGTTCCAGTTCAGAGTGCAAGGAATACCTGATTGCCCAAGAATCCACATATCGGTATTGCCAGCGGTCGTACTCCATGTGTTGCCCACCACAGATCAGCTTCTCTGGTATACAGCGGCTTATAGGTCTGTATTAAACTGAACTATACAGTAAGAAAATTTTCTTAATATTTCATTTGAACAATATTCTTATTATTCAGCGTTGATAACTATTTTTTTTACTAAACTTGAATACAACACATTACCCCTTTATATCCATCCACAGCAATAGTGCCGTAAAGGACCTGCACTCCTGCGCTGTTCAAACTATCAAGGTAGAAGATCGGCTTACGCGTACCATTAAGGCTGATATCGACCTGCCTGACACACCTAGATGAATTGAGCATTTTTAGTTGACGCAGATACAACACAAGAGTAGTTTTTCTCAATTTTTCAGCAAATACTCTATAAAATTTATTTTTTTTCAGCGGCTACGATAGTGAAACAGGGTAATCCGGGAACGACGAAGTAGAGCCAAAAAAAGGCTATAAGGTCCAACATTTGTCCAATTGCTGCGGTTATCCAAGAAGCGTACTCACACATGGTCCTCTCAAGTCGATCTGAAGGGGTTGTAGCTCAGTAGCGTGCCTTCTTCTCGCCAAAAAAAGAGGCACGCTACTGGAAAGGCAAGCACAGGAGCGGAGCCGGAGGCTGGAGAAGAGAAAACTCACCCGTGCGCGTTGCGGCGCGGTTTTCGACATCACCGCGGCGGAGCGAAAGGCGATGGTCTGAACCTCCGCCACTGTGCTCCGATCAGTAAAGCTTTTATGTGGAAGGAGAAAAATAGGGAAAAATCGATTGATGAGGGATTGAACAAATAGTGGATGCTTCTAGTTGCGTTAATGGTAGTAGTGAGAGAGTACAGAAAAGTCGACTCTTGGAGCGTATTACTTCAGTCAAAGGCGAAACTGGCGAAAGAGTTCTATTCGATTGCGAAATGACGCAAGCGTTGAACCGTTATAAGTTCACTACCCACTGTTGGCAATTCGCCAAACCTCACCTTAAACGTTTAGGCTGCGTTTATACTTTGCGGCGCGTAGCGTAGCGCTTCCAGCGTACGCCAGCGGCAGTGTCGGGGATGGATATCGATCTAGCGTTCCCAGCGTCACCAGCGCACGCTGACGTACGCTAGCGGCACGCTAGCGCACGCTGGCGTAGCGAGGGCACGGGAAGCATAGCTATCGATCTAGCTTCACCAGCGTTTCTCCCCCAGCGCTTGCAGCGACGGGGCTAGAGAGGGGCTAGAGAGTATTGAAAGGTACCAGAGGTATTTTGTACCCGTCGCTGCAAGCGCTGGGAAAACGCTGGAGAAACGCTGGTGAAGCTAGATCGATAGCTATGCTTCCCGTGCCCTCGCTACGCCAGCGTGCGCTAGCGTGCCGCTAGCGTACGTCAGCGTGCGCTGGTGACGCTGGGAACGCTAGATCGATATCTATCCTTTCCCCGACACTGCCGCTGGCGTACGCTGGAAGCGCTACGCTACGCTGCGCTACGCTACGCTACGCTGCCGCAAAGTATAAACGCAGCCTTACGCAAGGGTTTGCATGCTGCGTCGTTTTCACAATCAAAGAGAACGATTTTTGGCAGTTCCGCCATTACTGAAGTAATTCGCCCTGATAGTCAACTTTTCTGTATTCTCTCACCACTACCACTGACTCACCTGCTACCTGTTCAATCCTCTATTTCTCTCTTATTTATCACTCTCTCTCTCTCTCTTTTCCCCTGTTTTTTCTTTCCATATGGAAGCGGCTGGTGATTGGAGTACTGTGATGGAGGCGCAGGCCATAGCCTCGCTCCGCCTTGCCGCAGCGTTGACGTCAAAAAATCGCGCCGCAGCGCGGGTTTCCACGAAGCCGCCTGAGGGCAGTGATTGCCGGGTGCCGCCTCCACACTCCGCCCACTCTACCCTCAGAGTCGGTTTGTTGATGCCGAGATCACACAGCAAAACACGCAGTTAGCGGGAGAAAATGAACTAGAAGGAGAGGACGCAGGCAAGTAGCACATTTGACTACGCATGCGGTCGGGCAGTAGCGCTGGCGGAATGTGGACACGACACCCAATATCTCTAAGCTCCAGCCCTGTTCTCGTGCAATTTTTAGCGGTGGAAGTGGTAAGCTAGTGTAGCTGTAGGCCAATGCATCTCTAATCTGACAAAGACCAGGACCTATGTAGAACAGCGCGCAGTTCGTCTTAAAGACACATGGTACGATCACACATAGTTTGGGTGTGCGTGACTAACAGCCCCCAGCTGTCGAAGCGTAGCGGTTTCCCCGTCCTAACATGCGCAGGAATGGAGATACAGGACCGTGAAACACGCTAATTCCTCCATGCTCCGCCCATGTACAGTCGTGATCCCTCAGACTGGCCATCCGTAATTGCGTACTTCACTGGGACGCGACGGCGGCTGCAGTAGGAGTGGCGATCGATGCTGCATGATCACCTGATTTCAGCGATTAATTTTTCTATTTTGCCTGTTATTCTGCTAACTAGAAGGAAAAGTGAGTTCATATTATTTACTCTAATTTGAGGTTTTATTGTATATTTTGCTTTCAGTCGCTATTTGACTGCAGTGACGGTGTTTTTACCCACTTTTTGATTTTGTTTAGGTTTTTTTGTTGTGCTTTGAATGTTGGACTGTTCTCCATGGCAGTGTCGTTATGTGTCCTCATTAGTACAAAAAAAACCTAAACAAAATCAAAAAGTGGGTAAAAACACCGTCACTGCAGTCAAATAGCGACTGAAAGCAAAATATACAATAAAACCTTAAATTAGAGTAAATAATATGAACTCACTTTTCCTTCTAGTTGGCAGAATAAA